TGTGATGTTACACGAAAGATTAAATACTTCTAAACTTTCTATATGAAAACTTAAACTCCTGCTTACTTTCCTCTAGCGATGTTATCACCCCAAAATGAACTAGAAATCCAACAAATTATATACGAGATCTCACTGTCAAAATGTGGACATGAATGTTTACAGTCACAAAATTGTGTTGATGACCTCTTGACCTTTTGAGCAACTCAAAGGCTGAAATGTCCAAATCGCCATTAAATTACTTGAGCTTTCAAAGGTCTGATCCTTATTCATTTTGAACAATTCTGAGCTTCCCACTCATGTAAACCAAAGCTAAATGTCATTCTTTAGCCCATGAGAGACAATTTGTTCAGTACATTCAAGATCTTTTGTCTTGTATGCCCTCATGTCATGAACTTGTTTCCTCTGGCAACACCACAAATATAAGTATGTTTGTCATTCTGTCTTGTTTATTTGTTAAATTTCATATTTAATTCATATTTGACGTACTTGCTTATTTCAGTTTATGATTCCAACAAAATAACACAACAAACTATTTTCTCATTACACTCATTATGTTCATTCACTGTCCATGAACAAACAGGAGCAAGAAGAAGAGAACTTAAAACGCCTGCCCCTTTATAATGGCTTGTCATGGACAAGACATAGAGGAAGTTAAGAGCTGCAACGACTGGTTGGTATAAATTGGTTGACAGAAATTTAATCTATCTATCTATTTCGATTGGTTTATTTTTCAAGACGCCCTTTTTTCCATTCATGCTTAAATGGGAAAATGTCCTGCTTTTTTGTCAAACACCATGATAAACTTAATATCTTTGGATTCTGGACAAATAGTATCACTAAACATGACATTTTCTGACACACTCTGAGCTCTAGGACATTTTAATGGACATGTTCTGCGTATTAGATATTTTTTTTAGACCTAACATTTAAACAAACAAATACCTAGGAGATTATTATCTGAAATGATTGTAAAATGCATCCATAAAAAAAACCCACTGAGGAAACTAAATATACAGGTTTTAGAATTTGGATTCCAAATAATATCAATTTCAAGGACTTCATTTTGCAGTAAACAGAATTATTTTGACCCACTGACCGAGTGCTACATGACTGAAAATGTAACTGACTCTTTGGTTGCTATCTGTATTATATCAGTACATTACACACCTTGGTCTCTGGACTCAGCTTGTGCAAGCTCCTCCAGGTTTGCATCTATCAGGTCTGCCAGCTTGTTGAGGATGTGAGCTCGTTGCTCAGGGCTGCGGGCTGCCCAGCCGGGGAACGCTTCCTTTGCTGCTGCCACTGCTGCCTCCACCTGCAGGCAGTGAGAGGTTATGTTCCCTTGCGACTACAACACAGAGTTCATGACCTGCTGAAGTGACACTGGTATAAATCTGAGGGATAAAGAATGATGTTAAAAATGTTTTCTATAACAATTTATTTAATTTGTCAAGGTCTACCCTGGTTTCATTGAAAATCCTTCAACTCCTCTGACTTCGTCCGCAGTGAGGAAGGTGCAGAAAAATAATCTACATAAAGGGAGTCTGATTGAAACTTTTAACATTTTACAAACACAAACAGACTTATCGAGCTAACATTGTAACTATGTGTACTACACTGTGTGTAAAGTTATGCACTAAATATTTAGGTTTGTTGACATGTGACATGTTTAATCATTACTTGACTGTTGACTTTATAAGGGGCAAAGGTGCTATCCTCTGACTGTAGGCTATTTGAAACAAAGCATTTAAGTAAGGGAAACTTCTTAATGCATAGAGCAGATAGTTAACAATGTAGTACAGTAAGACAATATGACCAACCTCCTCCTTGCCACTGTCAGGCACCTTGCAGTAAATCTCCCCTGTAGACGGGTCGTACGAGTCGATGTGACTCCGACATGGGACGAACTTTCCTCCGATGAAGTTCTCCAGAACCAGATGGGACCTCTGCTCCGGGGCTGCAAACATGTTTTAAGTAAACCGATACAATCGAACTACAACAAAGCACTGTGGAAAATGACAGCAGGTTTCTGCAGGAAATGTCTAAAACCGCAAGAGCCCAGTTTAGAGAAATTGACCTCTCCTTGCACTGATCCTCCCACTTTACGACTGACGACTGTCATGTTTCACAACAAAACCGAATGAGTTCAAAGTGCAGTCCCATTACAAAAAATTGGTTTAACAAAACAATTAAGTATTCAGACATGGATATTTACTGAGATTGTATTATGATCTATTTAAACCCAGGGCATTAAATGAGATAGTCATAAGCTAAATAAATAAAAAATATATTTTATAGGGTACTTTCTACTGAGAAGTAGCTGTCCCCAATCCTGACCCATAAATTTCAATTTATGTAAATACCACTTAAAACATTTTTTAGATTTGTTTCAACAGTGTAATTTAAAAGATCTTCATGATTAAGTTTAAACAAAGGTTGAAAGACTTAGATTTATTTTGGATTTAATTTTTTAATTAAAAAACTATGCTCAAAAAATCATGTCCCTTGTTTTCATGTCACTATCAACTACTCAAGAGTTTTAGTGGCTTGGCTGAGCCTAGATTTAAGCCACATCCCTGAATTTTTGACCTGGAAGTGACATTGCATGTCTGTCCCTATGGTCTGTCCCCCATGGCTGAATGATAAGCAGCTAAATCCCATAGTTTTTAAATAAATGTGCTCCAAAGTAACTTTAAAAATTGTCACTACCGAACATACATTCTCTTCAATTATGTAAACTTTTTGGGGTTTTAGGCAAATTATTATGATTCTATGGGTGTACAACTCTTCAAAGATGTGTTTGCTCGCCATGTGCTTGCTAGCATTCTTTAGTTATGCTCAAAATTAGGTAGAATTGTCACTACCGAAACATATTACATATACTACATATCAAGTTCTGTAGTTGACATTACCATTTCGGTAGTGACAAAATGGAATGGTAAATAGTTAAATCTCATCATTTTGAAATAAATATACACTGTATATATATATATATATATATATATATATATATTGAGTTATCAACTAAAATGTTATGATACTGATTGGTTAACTGTATGTTCCGTCTCATAAATGATTAACTCTAAAATCAATCTGATCAGTGTTTTACATTTTAGGAAGAAAGATTGCACATAGATTTTGAAGAATTTTAAAAATTGAAATTTGAAATTTGTTAAAAAAATATTTTTTATTGATTTTATTGTGACAACCTTCAATAAACATTTGTAAAAAATAATCTTTACATAAGGGAAGTAAACATAATACTAACAGGTTAACATATTGTTTTTATCATAGTTTAATACTATGTTTCGGTAGTGACAAATTTGGGGAGAGCTTAACCTGTACAATTTATTTTCATTAAGATGCAATCCAGCAGAAGAAAAGCGACTTTTAAACAGCTCAAAATGAAGCAGTCTATAATAACATAATAGGCTTCTGCTCCCAACCAGGTTACCATAGTAACTGACTCAGAGGTAAAGTAACCTCACCCTCCGGAGTTACCCCTCTTTCTCGGGTTTGAGTTACCTCCTCCTCTGAAACAGAATAGGCTACCCAGAGTTTCCCTCATTTCAGGGTTAACTGACTCAGAGTTTGCACAAAACCTTCTTTCAGAAACGGGCCCCAGGAAAAAAACGCCAGAAAGCACTTTAAATGGGAAAGCCTGTTCTTATTTTCATTACTAGAAAATAAGTAGGCTAAGTTAAAGACTGTTGCCTGAGAGATATGTCCACATTTATGAGTCTTAAGTGTTTGTTTTCCGTGTGTGAGAAAAACTGTGTATGTTTCAAAAAGCAATGGCACATAGCTTCCAATGGTGAAGCCGTGTCACTAAGACTTTAATTTAACACAAGTCATCATTAGGGGTCACTATTTGCCTACTTGTAATTGTCTTTTCCTTCTTGTTGCCCTTCTATGTATGGCCTGTGAAGCCGGCTAGGTGTCTGTAGACAAAAACACTTCCTCTTTACGGCAAAATTGCTCCTGCAAAGGTACTACTAATCCACAAGGGGGGACACAAGGTTTAGTTTTGGGCCCCATATTATTTAGTATTTACATAAACTACCTTGGAAAGAATACTCGAAAGTCTTTTTTATTTATATGTGTTTTGTTAAAGTCTAAGAACCACAGAAAATTAAAATATGGTTACATTTACTGGTTAATATGTAATTTATTTATTTTGTGTTTAAAGGCTAAGCATCAGTTAAATTTAAAAAACTCTGAATAAAAATATTATGTGGTTGGCACATATTTAATTGTATGGATTTATGTTTCTATGGCAAAATATCTTGTAAGCCTGGAACCTGCACTCTCACACTGTATTACTTGCTCAATGAGTTTTCTGTTTTTGTATAACTTGCATTAAACATGTTGTGTCATGGGGGAACATATGTACACATTTGTGTAGATGACTGAAGGTCTTACATGCTACTGAACACTGCCATCCACAGGCAGCTGTAGGTGCTTCTCCGAGTCACCAACATCTGTCATTTTCCAGTCCAAAGACAGTTTGTGTTTTTATGTCTGATAACTTAATTTTAACAGTTTTGTTTCAGTTTCCCTTCTATAATTGTAGTAGGGTAGTCATAGATTACATTACAATGCAACTAGCATATGAAGCTGAATGTCAAATAGTAAAAAATATGTCAACCTTACTAGAAGTAACAGAATCAGACAGAATAGAATTGTGTATTTTTCTGCAGTGTTAATGTTTTTGGTTGCTAAGTTTTAACTGCTTCAGTCTATTCTCATCATAGCATACATTTATTGTTTCCTTATTCAAGGATACAAGTGAGGATATTTGCTGCAAGAAGTTATCTAAGATACCGACCCCGACACCATCAAAAAATTTAGATATCTGCCATTGAAGAAATCTATAGTGGATTACAATTCTCATTTCTATCACTCTTGTGCTTTTCACTTCTGTACAGGAACCTTGCTGACAAGCAGGGTACAATTTGAAATATATTCGTAACTCTTATTTAGAAATATTCACTCAAGTATCAAAACAACTCTTTAATCAATCTCATAGTTTGTCTGTATTCAAGCTTTCAGGAGGATTTGGTTTATAAAACAGGATTATTCTGCAGCATTTTGATTTGATCTGCCTTAGGAGTTCAAATATAAGGGATGAATAGGAGATTTATTTTATCAGGGATAGTGATGAACCAAATCGAATCTCCTCTGATGGTTTCTGCATTTCTCTGCACTTTCACTGAAAATGTTCCTCATCAGTCTATTTCACATCATGTCAATGCTAAAAGAGATGAGTGACTTGCCCCCACACGGTCACATTAATATTACATCCTTGAGAGTCCACAGCTAGTTTAAGCATTTTTTTGCATGTATTGTTCTGCAGGATTCCTCCTACAAGTTACAGAGATGTGTCGTTTAAGGTGCTTTCCACCCCTGAAAGAAATAACCCTTTCCGTGTCATACGCTCATTTACACTGACAGCATGAATAAACAAAAACTGTTCATCTGCAGGATGCAACTTACTTTAACTTTTAAATTATCTATTGATTGTTGATGTTGGATAAGTTGTTTAATGTGTAAAATGTTAGAAAATGTGTTTCCCAAAGCAGAGGACTACATCCTCAGATGTCGTTTGTCCAAAACTCAAAAGAAAGAAAATCGGTCAAAAGGGAATAAAAAATAAAGTATTCAATTTTAAATCAGTGGATCAAAGAATAAGGGCTTTTCTCTTAAAAAAAAAAAAAAAAAAAAAAAAGACTAACTTATTGAGAAATTATCAAAATGTCTGACAATTAATTTTGTTCATTTGTACAAATCTCGCTGAAATGAAATCAACACAACTTCAAGCTGCGGGAAATAAAAAGCCAAAACTGCACATTTTTGATGTTGTTCATTTTGCATCATCTGTTCACCAACATGTCTGATTTAAATACACAGAGAAACAAAAACAGCCCCATCAACTCTCAATTTCCACTCCCAAATAGAAGCAAAAATACCCATAAGCACTTAGTGGACACATTTTAAGGTGAGGATTCTCTTATCTCGGATGGAGCTACAATTTAAGTTCCCTTTTTTTTTTTTTGTTCACAAGCGACTCGGTCTGGGTTAGTTTGGACCTTGTATCCTTGGCTGTGTAATTAGAGATGCAAACATACTTATGTTAAAAATCACACCAACTCCTGCATGGCGTCACATGACATTCATCCTTTTCTAAGTTTTAAAATGAATCATTTCAGGCAAGCAGCTTCATAAAGGGATCCTTAACATTGAAAATCTGTTATTGTAAATTCCTATCTTGCAGCAGGGAGGGATTGTCTTCCTCCCACCACAGCCCAGGTTAAATCTATCTGCCCTGATTCCTGCACCCACTTATTTTTCTCAGTCAACTTAAGCGATCAGTCCTACAGGTTCCTCTTCAAGAGAGAACAGTGAAATCGATCACTGTGGACACCTAGATATGTTGGGATCATGTCTCACAGTCAGTTTATACTGTTGATTTGGGTTGATCAAATTCAGAGCCACAAGGTTTCACAAACTGGTCTGATGGTGGGAAATTTGAAGAGGGGTTTACTGGGTAATACTCCTTATTTGATGGAGGAAAAGGCAGTTGCGAAGCATTTTGTCACGGGGCTGGTTTCTTGCAGTTAGTGTTGATCGGAGCAGGAAGGTGAAGCAGCTACTGTGCTGGATAGAGAGATAGATGGATGGATGAATGAGCGGATTGAGTCTCTGGAGAATTGCACTTTGTCTCTTGCTGCATGCAGTCTGCAGAGCAACGACTGACTTTCTCTGTGTCCATAGGAAGGTTTGTCATTCTTTGATCTGCAGAAAGGAAAGACAACATGAAAATGACTGAGGATGCTTTATCAAAGGACACAGAAAGACTGTTAACGGTTTCTTCCTAACAGTTATACAAACACAACAATCTCAATGAGTCACTACCTTTAAAAAGGCTGAAATAAAGCTTAGAATGTACACCCTAATAACAAGATAATAGTTGATAGTATCAACCAGTTTTTATGCAAAAACAAATTCTATGCGTATGTGACCTGAAGGGACCTTCACTTTACCTCAGTGACGACCCCAGCAGCTATGGTGGAGCCCACATATCGCAGCATGAAGCGGCCCAATTCCTTGTAGTCCTTGTACAGTTCTAACGACACTGGCCTCTGGGTCTGGACCTCAACGATGGCATTCATACCCTTACTCAGACATCTTTATGAGAAAAGAACATAAAAACAGAAGTACCGGTGAGCCCAACCACTCAGATTTCAAGATTTTTCAGTATTATATTATTTGGATGATAGTTTATCTATCTAGATAATCATCTTTTTACTGTTTATGTGTACTATTTATTTATTATCCAGAACTGGATGCAATGCATCCATCCAACACTCACTTTGGTTTCTTCTTTAGGACCTCCCCGCTGCTCTTGTGTAGAACACTTATAAGTTTCCTAATGGTGGCCGGCTCACTTACTGTTTGATAATGCAGCAATACCTACAACAAACAAACACACACACACACACACACACAGAGTCTTTAATTTGGAATATTTGTGCAAAGAACAAAACTGCTGGTGTGTGTGTGTCTGTGTGTGTGTGTGTGTGTGTTTGCTTACTGGGAAGCCTTGCGTGATGGGGACCTCGATGTTGAAGAGAAGGACTCGAGCTCTGAATCGAGTGCAGACTTTGACGGGCTCTTTGGGATCACAGAACACACAGCCCACACTGGAAAGAGGAAGTTCATTCAAAATACGGTCAATCAAATAAAAATAAAAAGCCTTTATGCTAATATTAAATAAAAAAGCGGCACCACTTTGGCTTACTTGATCTTGATGATGTCCATACCGGTGACGGTCAGGCTCACATGGTCTCCTGCTGCAGCCCAATCTAGAGCTTCATCGTGCATAGTTATACCTGCAGTAAAGATAAAGCAGAATGCGGATCACTCTGCCACTAGATGGCAGTGTTCATCACAGCGCATTTATTGATCATCTCTATGAAGATACAAGGAAAGGCACATTCAGATGCAGATGTGCTCCATGCTGACAAACTACTTGAAAGCATAGTTAAGAACCTGACTGAGGAAGTATTTTATGAAGTTTGATCCTGTATTGATAGTTACTTTAATCATTTTGAATGCATCTTACCATCATAACCATCATCAAAGAAAATGCCCTGAAAGAGTTGTAAAATGGAAAGCTGAAGAGCCAGAGGTGACCATCACACCAAAATGGCAGCGTACCTTTGACTGTGCAGGTTTCATTGGGAGGCATGGCCAGTATTCTGTCTCCAGTCTGGATGTAACCCGCCTCAATCTTCCCCGTTACACAGAAACCTGAACCTTGGTCTGTGGGAGGGAAAATGCAATGTCAGCAACAGTTTTAATTCGGAAAATCTCAGAGGAACATAAAATAAAACCACATGCAGCGTTAGTATGTATCAGTGACTTTTACCTTTGAACACGTCTGAGACACACAGTCTGAAAGGTTTGTCAATGGACCTCTGAGGGGCTTTGAAGCCATCTTCAGCAGAGAGAAAAAAATGTTTAAAAAGAGAAAGGACAAAAATGACAGATAAGATAAACATAGAAGTCTGCAGTTGAATCATTTTCTCTGGTACTTTAGGAAATATTTGTAACCGTCATGTAGTCTGAATGATCAGCATTTTGATGACAGTGGAAGTGTCGTAAGCTAAATTCTTAGGAAGCGAAAGTACATATCTTTTTCATTAGCGTACATTCTCAAAATATGATTACTGTAGTGAGTTAGCCGCATTCCACTTCAGAGCTGTGATGTAAGAATGAAACATTCGGCTGCTTTTGCCTCAGATTGCTGCAAAAGTCTCCATGGCTGTGGGGTCAGCTTGATACTGTAATGTTTATTTTCCAATAGTGATTGGTGTTTAAAGCAGACAGAAAGTGCAGACAGAAGACATTCAGGGAAACATGTCTTCCCTACAGCTGCATAATCATTCTCTGCACTCATATGTCAGTACACTTCACTGCTAAAGCTAGAGTGTCGGCTGTAAGATATGGCTACGTATGATACTTTTACATCATAAGGGACTTGTACAATCATTTTCATATGCTCCTTTTCAGAGTAAAAAAAATCATACAGACATTCTTTTGGAGCCAATTCTCAAAACTTGGATGGTAGATTTTGGATGAAGCAGATGAATTGTAAAACCACTGTGAGAAAAGTTCTCTATATTTGCATTGATGCAAGTTCACTTGTTTGAAGGTGTCAACCTGTTTTCACGCTTAATCACATTTTTTGCTGACATAACTTCGTCCAGAAATTAGCAGCACTTTACCCCGGTGGTAAACCACAGCAGCAGCAGAGGTTATGCAGTTTTACCATATGAAGGGAGACACGATGAAATATCTCTCTGCTCGCAAGTGATCACTAAAGACAGCTAAACATATTTATTAAATGTTTTCATTCCCCTGGTCGATTTCTGTCTTTCAGAAAGAGATTTTTCAATTGCAAAATTAGTCAGTAATAACTGCAATTATAAGGGGAAAACGATGAAAAATGGGAAGACATGCAGCCTGTGTACGTATTTAAGCTATGAGATCTGTATTTGAGCGTCACAAGGCCATAAAAGCTTTATGCAAATGAAACCCTATGAGCAGTACCGATTTGTTCCAGCAGGCTGGGACCAGAGAACCAAGAAGTGAGCTCAGACACCGAACTCCTGGCGGTGAGGTTCTCTCCTGAAAGGCCACTGGTGGGGATGTAGAAAACATCTGAGTCCTGGAAAAAAGTTTAAAAAAGCAACTAGATTAACCCAAAGAAAACTGCTCCTCTTACATAATGACAGTATAAATACTGATACACATAAAGAGTCTAATCTCCTTAGATGTCTGGTGACATCTAAGACATCTAACCAACCTTGAATCCTGCTTGCTTGAGAAAATGGCCGAGTTTGGAAGTAATATCTTGGAAACGCTCTTGCTGCCAGTTTACCTAATTTATATGAACACACAAAGATACAAAGTTTATCTTCCAGCATGGCTTCAATATGAAATGTGTTGGCATTAGCAACAGGTGGATGATTATGGAAAAATACACAATTGTACAGACGTCCTTAAGAATTCTTTCTCTCCTGCTGCATTGTTTAAATAAAATGCAAAGACCAACTAAATGATTCATATATATATAGTGAACATCTGTTGTGTTAGTCTTTCATGTCTTTTTCTGAATTTAACCCCGAATAGAAGTAGAAAAAATCCTGTAATTCAAAGTTGCACATCTGCAGTGATGACCAAAACCAGTCCTAAAAACATTCGTATTTGTGCTAGTAATGTGCTCCAACCTGGTCCATCTTGTTGACAGCTACAGCCAGCTGAGTGACGCCAAGCGATCGCACCAACAGAGCATGCTCTCTGGTCTGACCGCCCGCCTCGAAGCCCGCCTCGAACTCTCCTCGGCTGGCGTCCACCACGAGCACCGCCACGTCGGCCTAGAGAGAGAACCGAGACAGATGTTTTCACAGAGACAGATGTGAAAGTCGAACTCAACTCAGCAGGAAAGTTAACAGATTAATTACAGTGTTGTAACATCCATGGTGCATGTAAACAACTATTGTTAGGATTAAGAGCCGTGTTTGAATGATAGAATTTGTAGCACAATCAACTCTAAAATTAAAAACCTTAGTGTTCTGTTCACCGACACCCATCCCGACTCATACAGGAAGAAAAAATGACTTGAAAAAGACAAACAGTAAAGTTCTGAAGTTCATGTGAACTGTCATGTGACAGAATATTAATTGCATCTAAATTAGTCATGTACTTACAAATGTAGATCATTGGATTGTTTTGCTCTTATTAATGACATATTTTAATTTATAGTATGTATTAAACAATCATTCTTTAAATCAGGTGTTATTTATCAATTTTTTTCTTTTTTAAATAACTGAAGGCATGCTTTACTGATGATATGTTCAGGCTGAGAAATATCCTCTTCTGTTTGTGACACCATTTGCTTACAACAGGAACTCCTTAGTCACTACATGATTAGGCATAACGTGATGACAGTCATATGGTAAAAAGAGAAATTACATTTATGGCTCAAAGCAGAGACAGACGAGCACACCCATGCCTACAAAAACACCTTGTATCAGCAACACCCAAAACCACGAGAGTTATTTCAAATCATGCCGACAGGTGTGGCAGGCCGAGGGAAAACGGAGGCAAAGAACCATTTCTAATAAGCCTGGGGTTCGTAGAGTCACACAAATGATTAATATCATCAGATTAATATCAATGTAATGAACATCTTGAAAAAAATACATGTAATGAACTTAATGAATTGGAAAAATCTTATGTTGTTTGGTAATTTAAGAGACAAAATTAGAAAAATTAAGCATTATGAAATACACAAATAGACGATTTTATCCGTTTCATCCTCTCATTGAAGATCACATTCTTGATTTACGCGTTGTAAAAGTATACCTAGTCTACTTTATTTTGTCTACAGGTCCCTTGAAGGTCTTGTTTATTTTACAGTATAGCCTAAAAAGGTTGTTGATGTCTTCAAATATAATTTTCTGACTTTAACCAGAGTTTTTGTTGCTGCTGTGAATTTATAATCCAATGTAGAGCACTTTGGTCAACTTTATTTTAAAAAAAAATGTGCCGAAATAAATAAACCAGGAAAAAGCAGCATGCTGATGTTGCATTTTCTTTCTCCATTCCAGGGTTCAGTTTTCTGGATAATGGGGTAGATTTGTGCGGGTTACATTCAGACCAGAGACAGAATTCTGTATATGTTTTAGTTACACTGTCACTTGATGTACTTTCTTGGTGGATTTCTTTGAATATGTATGAAGGACACAAGTTAAAAACTGCCTTACAAATACAGAAAGGCCAGTGATTTAGGTCTGAAGAAGGCAAACCTCTAGGATGTTGGTTTAGCTCAGCTGGTAGAGCAGGCTCCCCATGTACAGAGGCTACAATCCTCGTCACACGGGTCACTTGTTTGACTCACAATTATCAACCATATGGTGCATGTCATCCCCCACTCTCTCTTCCATGTATCTGAAGCAATCAGGCATTATGATGTGTGCATGACTACAACATAGCCTCTTACTGACATGAGAATAACAGCAATAAGTCTCTGTATTTCTGAAGTACCCCCCCTCCAGCCCAGTTTATGACAAGTAACTGGATTATAGGTATTTGTATAAAGATAAAGACTATCACACTCCACTTAAATGTTTTAGAAGGTAATACAGTTTGGAGATGTAAGTAACAGTATTATCGGGAACATTTGCCAAGGGCTCATCCCGTTAATAGAAATTATGAATAAGAGTGGTCCTAAAACCCAACTCTGTGGCACCCCCTTTGATATGTTAAGGGGTCGAGGTGTGTCGCCTTTGACCTACACACATTTTGATGAAATAGAACATTTTCAAAGCTGATTGATAATCAGATAAAATGTTTTATAAAATTGAACAGTAACATATGGAGGAATAAACGTTGGTACCTGAAAGTACTACATTCACTCCGTCAGTTTAGATGTACAGTGAAGGCTGCTTGGAACCTCTACACACTATACCTGTGCAGCTCCTGTGATCATGTTGGGGATGAAGTCTTTGTGTCCCGGTGCATCCATTAAGGTCACCACCTTAGAGTTTGTCTCAAACTTTGTCATGCCCACATCCATTGTTACACCTCTGGAACAAACACAAACAAAATAGGGCATTATTTTACAATTCTTTGATCAAGTTGGAAAAATGCTTTTGCATTGTAAACTATTTAGTAAGCGGAACTAACTGTAACTGACACCTGGCGTACTAAGTTGCTGAACAGCCATTCATTTGGGGATTGTAGACTTACAGTCTAGGTCATTTTCAGTTCAAGAGTCTTTCTTCTGGTGGGCGAGGCTCTCAGTCAGATGCTGTAAACATTACGTATTTCCTACAGAAATTACTGATAGGTAAAGCGCCAAATTTGCTTTCTGTTCCTGCAAATTTTGCTTCAGTATCACTACTGAACAACAGAGCGAGGGCAGACAGGAATGTTTTCTGCACGGTGCACCATGCGTGGTAATGCTAGTTATCAGCAAAATAGGGACTTCTTCCTTCAAATGAACAATCCAGTTTATCCAGATTCAATTACTTTGGACCCAGTTTCAAAATAAATGTTTTTATCAAGCATAGGACTCAGCAGGAAGTGACAACTTGGCAACCCAAGCCCTGCCCTCATACGGAGGGGCATTAAAGGGAATTTCCCTGTGTCCATGTGTATTTATTTGTGTGTTTTTATATTAATGCTTAGAATATACCTGTCCCTCTCCTCGCCAGTTTCATCCAAGACCCAAGCGTAGGCAAAGGAAGCCTTTCCAGCCTTCTTGGATTCCTGCTCATACTTGTGCATGGTGCGCTTGTTAACGTTGCCCAACAGATAAAGCAGATGACCCATCAGTGTGCTTTTACCAGCATCCACGTGACCTGCAGGGAAGAAAAATGTAACAATGCCACACAGATGAGGAAGTTAAAAAATAAAACGAAAAATAGAAAAGCAACTCAGTGGGTGTGGATTGATATAAGACACCAGGGTGGGTTGATGGAAGGCAGAAAAAGAGGAAGAATGTGATATGGGTGATAAGGCAGGTATACTGAGGAGGGAGTTGATAAGTGGCAAAGGGAAACCACAGACAGCGGCAGGAAAGAAAGAATTGCTCAAGAGGAGGTAGGCGGACAGAAATGGGAACAAGGATCGAGGCTGAGAGGGGGAAGGAGAGGACCATGGTGAAAACGAAAGGTTTCACAGGCTGTGAGAAACAAGAACGATCTTTACTTCTGAAACTACCAAGTCACCTTTTCTGGTGTAACTGAGACTGAGAAAATATGATTGAGCCACTTTACAGCTCCATTACTGCTATTCAACTCAGACAAGTACAAAAAGAGGCCGATTGGGAAATATAAATTTGACTGCCTAGCATTACAGAGAATGGTGGGATTTTTCTGAGGAATATACTTAAAAGTTGTTTTGACATTCAAGGATGTGGCAGAGAAAATGGAAGAGCTGGATTTACAAACAAATGATTTGTTTAAATGAAGAGCAATATATGTGACTTTATTACCTGCATTTTAAAATGGAAAAAAAACATTTTGGAGGAAAAAGATTGTTGAAGATATGTTACCACGGGAGAAACTACTACTATATTGAGGCATCTTAAAACATTAATTCATTAAGTATATATTTTATTTATAACATTAAAATCTCAATGTGCTTTGAACTTAAAAAACACTTAAGGGTTACATTTTATTTATGTTGGTTTGTAAGGTACTTCATTTCCCTCCTACCTATAACCACCAAGTTTAGCAGAGGTTTTCCCCCCTGCCTCTTCTCCAGTTCAGCCTTGATGTTGATCGACTGCCGGGCCTTTCCAGAAGAGCGCCCTGGGGTGGGGACTGTGGAGGGCTCGTCTCCATTTGATCCTTTAGATGGAGTCCCGGGACGCTTTGTCGTGGCCTCTGAAGATGCCGTTGCGTCTTCTGGGCTGCCACCTCTACGTAGCAAAGCAGTGACAACGCCATTTTCCCCCATGCTGAGGAGAGAGAGTGTAGAGGAGTTTAATCCCAATGAACAACTTCTCTTCAGCCAATATGCAGCTTTCTAAAAATTATTAGTCTGTACATCAACAACTCAAAATTTGGTGGATATTCTGAATTGAAATACAGCCATTACTTTGCTAGGCTGAATCAGTTCCAATATAAATAGGAGGAGTTCTGTTATGAAAGCGTTAATGTTCGGCTCAATGTGTGCAGATGTGTTTTTGGTACCTGGGAACTTCAAAGCCCATGGTCTGCTTCTTGCCAGAGACGGTCATACGGGCCACTTTAGGCACAATTTCAGAGTCCACTTTATTGTGAGGGGCATCTCGGCTTTTAGCTAGAAGGAACAGACAAACAAACCTGTACACTTTTCTCAGAAAAAAAAGGCAAACAACAGCGACTGAGGAGGATGTTACATTTTTACTGGCAAAGACATTCAAGCTGTATTTTTCGAAGAACTGTTGCATCTAGACCATGGATATTAGATACACAGTATATAAAATAAAATTTGCTCTGAAAATGCAGCACAATAACTCAATTTTTTTTCTAATTAAAATGAGCAGTCCAAACACTACAAAGCACTACCAGCATGTTCAAGATAGTTCTATAATGCATGGTAACATGAGAACACCAAGCACCAAAGACATCTTTAGGAAGTGGCTGCAATGTTCAGATTAGGACTGTTTGCTGGTTATAGCTGCATATAACTGGCATATGAAGTATACATTGTTTGTGTAAGCATGTCATGCAATAAGTGGGGACTCCATCTCCTGACTGGTAGTTCATATTCAGCAGTAGCAAGACTAGCTGAGCTCATTGCTTCGTCATCCCAGTCCCAAATGGCCACCACTCCCAGTCATAGCAACCTGCCACTGATTCATTTAGACATGGCTGCACAACTGAGCCCAGCACGCTTTCTGTGCGCATCTGTGTGCATGATGTGAGGCAGTGACATCCTGGTTAAGAAAGGGTTAATTTCAGTAGTGGCCGTTGCCTCCTGTCTCTACGTAAATAGAGCAGTGTGACACAGCATTTCAGAGAATGAAACTTTCGAAAAAAGGTGTCACCTCAGCAGGGTTGCATAGTGAGAGGTTTACGTGTCCAATAAAGCACGCACAACCAATAAGAATGCAGTCTTGAGGTTTTTCTTCAACACTTTTGGCTATATTCAAAATTGGACCAACTCCCAGCTGTCACTGATTCCTGTAAAACTTTTTATGTTTCTAACAGTCAATAAAAAAAAAAGCTCAACGGTTTGCTTTTCTCTGATTATTGTCTTTGAAGAGTAAGATTTCTCTTCATCAAAACACAAAATGCATTTTTTTTTTAAAAATCATATCGGTCCTCTATTTGCTCCATGCAGTTTATTCGTCATAAAAAATACCCCGAGGGAAAATGAGAGTGAAGGTGCTTTTAAACAGAATTAATAATGGACTTCGTCTCACCAACTTTTCTCTGAATGACTGCAGAGAAAAAGTCCCTCTCATTCTGAAACAGTGATATACAGGCGAGGCAGCTCACAAAAGACACTTACCAAAGGCTCTCATTCATCTGCTTAGTCACATTTATTTGAGTTTATTCCCACACTCTACACACAGGGCTGCTGTAAAGTTGGCCCAATGTGACTGTTAGTGAAAAGCTGCTGTTGTATTTAGAACAGCTTGTTCAAACTAAAAAGCTGTAGATAAATGAATAAAGATGGACAAATGGATGTCTACACAAAGAGTTTTGAAATAGTCTGTAATTAGAGTAAAAAAAAGCACGCACTTCAAAATGATGGACCTTTAACACCATTGTCATCACTGATAGCTGCATCCTTTCAGGCCTGCATCAGGCAACAACACTCAATGGAAAAACTCTCTGGGGAGTTTTTGGTTCTTCCTGCAGCCTGCACGATATGAGAAAAATATGCTGTGTGGTGTGCGATAACATTGCTCTGTACTGTGATAACGATATGAAGTGTGATAAATAAATACTGAGAGTATAGCAGCTATGACTCCGTTGCAACATGTTTCCTCCTGAATCCAAAATTCAAACAAAAAGATGTTTTTCCCGCCAACAAATTAGCACCAACTTGTCTCAGGGTATCTGATAGCTGGCTTAAACTTCATCTGACCTCATCGAAATGGTGTGAAAGCATGGCCAATACATCCAGATTACAATCCAATATTTTAAATGAAAGCATTACTGAGTAACGATTTATCGCGATAAATTCCGACTTCTGCACTAAATTTATTGCAAATACTCAGATCGTGATCACAATGACAATGCAATTAATTGCATAGCCCTGGTTTCTACCGCCTGCTTCAAACAAGAAGACACCATCCAGCTCGCAAAACACTTCAAAGATTAGCTGTGATTATTCGCTCAGATTAACTCTTACAAGGTAATTTAAAATAAACCAAAAGAGAAAAACTAAGAATCTACACAAACAAGCCGGTACTACTAAATCCCTGAAGGTTTTTTTTATTTGAGATCCTCACCCTCATTTTATTTTTTTGACCTGGGGTGAAACAGACAGGGACACCCAATCAAACACCCCCAAGGTCTCAAGCACGAAAGCAACCCCTTTTTTTTTTTTTTTTTTTTTTATCTACCAGACATGATGCTCAGTCAAAAGACAACTCGGCAAACAACTGACTTTTCCGATACTTTCCCCCCAAGTTTGCCTCGGGGCAGCATTAACAGGAGGGCGGCTTTTGCAGACTAATTATGTTCTAGGGCTAGGAGCAGGATCTCTTCACACTGTTTGGACTGGCAGGTAAACAGTTGGCGTCCTCCCATCCAGGATTTCAAGAGTCAAGAGGACCCTTGCAAGTGACTAAGAGTGAGTGAGTCATCTGTACATCTTGGCCTGAGGGCTCAACTGAGCACAGGATGAGAGGAGCCCGCCCAGGATATGCAAATATCAACCCCTGTTCAAATACACACATGCATGCAGGCCAAAGGAAAATAAGAGCTCCAGGTGGAGGAGCTGGTAACTGGTTGACATAGCCTTTGCTTGTGATGGAGTCAAATCTAGCCGGATGCAATGACTTCATATGTAATCGAAACATTAGCTGTTTGATTTGTTTATACTCTACATGTCTCTAAGCATGTCTTATCACAAGTACACTTTGTCGTATGCTCTGAACAGGTTCCACAGAATCGGCTAATAAACTGATCAAATATTTGACACACTGCTCTGAAGCCAATAATTAAAAAAAAAAATAGAATTCTAGTGAGCTTCATACTGAGGCTCACTGCCACTAGAGGCTGCTAAAGGCTGTGAGAGATGAGGATTTGGACTGACTCATTTCAAATACAAGTTCTACTGCAGGGGAATTTAGGGGGAAAATGTTTGAAAAAAAAAAATACAAAGAATTGTGTCGAAGTCAATTTGTATGAGTTCATCTTGAAGCTTTGTCTGTTGTAATTACCTGTAAGAATAGAATCCCTGAATCAGAGGGAGTAGAGTGAAAGTGTTTTATTCAACTTTAAGTCAAGGCTACTCAGATTGGTTTCAACAAGCATGTAAAAAATAAAAGCTTTAGTCTTGCACTTTTTCCTCTTAATGCAGATATACACAAATTAACCAAACTATATGTCCCAACTTTATTCATGTTGGAATGAAAATATGAATGAGAGTGACTCTAAAGGAAATGAAAATGCTGGCTGACAGAAAAAAATCAAGTCTGACCCCTTTCAGGATGAGTCACACACACACGCAAAGTGAGTACCACCACACAACACCGAATACATCTATACACTCGTCATCCTCTGCACACACACCTACTCAGCAGACAGTCAACCTTGAGTCAAACCAACCACCTGAGAACTCTCACCTGCTGTTGACAGATTTCAAAACAGCACATTCAACTATAATGTCAACAAACATTAGGGATTTCCATTGTTTGGCCAAATAGTTAAGCAAATGAGCACGTCTTATTACGTTAAGACATTTGGAGTTTTAAGTGGTGCATTTGTTTCAATTCCGCTCTGTCCTGCTTAACTGGGGGGCTAAATTCAAAATGCTTAATCTTTTTGGTGCATGATCGCCATGTTCAACCTGTCTGAATTAAGTTAAAAGTTGATGGTAAAACCAATTTGTTATGTTTCCCTAAACATTGGAAGAAAAAAAAAACAAGTTAATCCTGAATCCACAAATACATTGCTTGTTTTTTTACAAAGTGTGAAAATAACCATGATGCAACACAAACCTTGCACTGAAGATGCAGCACATCTGGGTGTACTGGTACTTCCTATATAGATTTTAGATAACATAATGATTATCAGTTGCACAGTTTGTTACTGTGAAGGGTTATTGAGGTAGTGATTCATACTACACTTGAAGAAGAGTCAAAATTGTAACATATAATATTGTGTTCTTTACATTGACATAGCAGCTGTGTTATATAGATTTTATTTTAAAGTAATATCATTATTTATGGGGGGGGAAACAAAACTAGTCATTGAAAGTGTTTCTATTCAAACTGAACCATAACATGAGAATGATAAATAAGCCAGAATGCTTCAGTATCTATCTCAAACTGTCACATGAATGCTTTAAGACGACTTTATTTGCCTTCAAAGTGTTGCATTTATGGTACATTAGAATGCATCTTTTTCCATTAGAATTGCTCTCAGCCTTTTTTTCCTGTAAACACATTGCACCACAATAAAGCAGGTTTTACTGAGGGTACGAATACAAGTCCAAATGCACTCACGTTTTTGGACCACATGCAAGTAAAATGGTATTTTCCAGTTGGCACCACATCACAACAAGCTTAGTGTGTGCAACAATATAAACCTTGCAGAACTGCAGAGCATGTAAAGACACTAAATGATTTGATCTGTTAAAGCTTCTGACAAAGCTGTGAAAAAAAGTCAAGACACATGTTCAGATTTTCCTGCGTAGGTGGTGTAAGAGAGAGACACACAGAGAAAGATGATCGGCTGATGTGTGTGTGTGCGCTTGGGGTGACATTTTCCCCAAGAGTGTGGCTTCCTGCTCAAACCCACTTGCTGGCTCGCCTAAAGATGAGAAAAAAAAAGGACAAAACTGTTGCTGGACAAACCCAGTAGTTCATAATACTTACTCATTTCTAGATTTTCACAGATTCCAATCTATCAAAGTCTTAAATCAAACCTCCACTTTAAAAAAAAAAACAGACCTCAACATCCCTAATAAGCCAAATTATTTCCAAACATCATAATACTCCCAGAAGTTCATGTCGGCTGACAAACCTGTTTGACTTGTAATGTTTGACTTGTCATTATTACCACAGTCTGCCCTTTATTATCTATCATGTCCCTCAGGCTCACCAGTTTATGTTTGACACCCTGAGGGTCCACTTCACTCAACTCTGTGCACCTGTATAAAGTTTACACACATTTAGCCCAAACCCTTCACTCAAAGAGCGTCCTCACATTGAAGACAACAATGAAGCAGTGAAATAAAATAACTACACAGGGAGGAGAGTTTGACATCAGCCCCCATCATCTCCTCCTGTCTGATAACCACTGTACACATCGGTGACGAGAATATGACTCTTTTTAAGCAGCTTTGTCCAAGCTTCAGTTTAAAACTTTCTAATAGCAAAAACAATGACTCACACTTAGATGATAGATACCTTTAGAAACTAAGAACAGGCTAACCTAAAAAAAAAAAAAACTGCACCAGATACATAATAGGACTTATTTTTATCTCGGTGGACATTTCCCCTTATGAACACTCTTCATCCATATAAATACTACACTGCAGATATACTCGACTTGCATTTCAGCTTGAGGTAGAATATAGAGCACGGTTTTATTTTGTATCAGAGAATTAGACACAACCAGAGAGACACGCCCAGACACAGGTGCTTTAAGAGTACATAAATTCAGTCATCTTTATTTGGAAATTTACAAATTAACCTCTAGCTGAGTGCGAGGACACACCCAGCATAAATCAAGCCCATTTGTACATTGTAATACTAAAAGCTTTTAAGAGCAATACAAGCCCTTAAATGTCAGGCCTTCAAGCATTCCTTATGACTCTCTTTATTTCCAGTGCTTGCTAGTTTTGTATTTTCTTGAATATTAAACATCAGAAGTGTTTGTTTTCTTTATGTGCATTGCTGGGTATACATGTGCACACACACTCCCTTTATGGGAAAATCTCCAGGTGTCCTCCACACCAAAATGTCAACCCAATATCATGATCTCAAACACAGGCAGCACTAAACCAGCACAATGGTTAACTGATCCATATTCCATAGCTGCAGCACACCTGCAAACAAAATCAACCTCCTTTTGTCTTTTGAGGGTTCATGCAGCTCAAAACTAGAAAAGAGGCCACGCAAAAACATACATTTGAATGATATCATTTCCCCTGACTAAAATTCATCTACTGAACTTTCGTACAAAAATGTTGACTAAAAAAAGACAGTGGCCATCTAAGGGTACAAAAATAAAAATGTTAAATGAGGAAAAAGTTTTAAAAAGTTCTTAGAATTCTAACACTTCAGTGAAATTTTACATAGCTGCGATACATTTCAAGCTGCCAGGCAGAAAGAGTAAGTTCATTTTTGATCCAGTTTGACTTCCAACAGAATTGTTGTGTAGCAGCAGTAATATAAGACTTGCTTTCTAAAAGATATAAAAGAAAACAATGTTGTAGTAATACTATTTTTAGCGGTCTTTAAGCAGATCAGCGGAAAAAGTTTGTCCTAAAAGTTTGTTACTCCACTTGACTGATAGTAGGATACAGATTAAAAGTCTCAAAAGGACCGCTGAGCCTGAGAGCTGCATCTCACCGACTTCAGTTCATTTGGGGAAGGAGAGCCACAAAAAAAAAAAACAATCCAAGCTTGTCGTTCCAAGGAAAAAACTTAAGCACCAACACCGACGCAACTGAGACAAGTTCTTCCTCGTCTACCTGGTGAATGCTTTTCGCTGGTTTGCACGGACGATGTCATCTGGTGAAGGCGTCTCAAAGCCAAATGGTACAATCGGTGAGAGGGGGGTTTGCTGCTCTTTGGCTTTGTCTTGTGATTTACTGAGGAAGGCCTGGTAACCACTCTCTTTCCTCTGACCTCCTATTCTTCGCTTCAACACATTCCTCATCCTCCTTTGTTGTCTGCAGTTCTGAATCGACAAAGTAATTGCAAACACTGATGGTTGTGCAAACACAGAGGTAACTGGAGGAGGAGAGGATGGCGAAGGGAGGTCTTGGTCGAAGAGACGAAGACTTGGTCCATCTGACTGGGCCATGAGAGCACTCAAATCAATAGTCTGCTTCGGCTTAGGTAGCCTGGCGCTTTGGTGGTGTCTGTGGTCGACTTTACGCATGGCCCCACCCTCTATTGTACTATCTGCCAAAACACAAGCCCTCTCTGGTTTTGCTGGTAAGAGGAGTGAGGATAGAGAGTATTGTGACCCATTTGAGGTGGTTGAGGTTTTGCCTTTGTGTGCAGACAAATTTGACAAAGAGAGCAGCTCAGAGGTGGCAGGTGGTTGTTTCAGTGCATTTGCTGGAGCGTCAGTGCTGGTTTGATGCTGCAGGGCTAACTGAGACAATGACATAGTCGCACCTAGACCTGCAGGAGTGTTATTGGCTGGTTTAGAAAGGGTGAGAGTGTTATTTAGTTGTTCAGTGCTCTGTGATTGTGACTGGCTGCTTGCGTTCCTGTTTTGGTGCTGTGAAGCGAGCTCAGACAGCGAAAGAGTTTGGGCTGGTGCAGCAGCCCCCTTGAACGCCACAGAAGTTAAGCTGCTTTGAGAAGTAGGGAAGTATGTTGTGGTTGTAAGGCTGGGGTTCGAATGTTCCTGGATTAAATCGGCCAACGATAGGCTTCCTTTAGGATCAGCCTTTGTGGCTTTAACTCCAGTCCCAACTCCTTCTTGGTGCTGATTGCTCTGGAGGACAGAACTGAGACTCCCAAATCCAGGAGGTGTAGCAAGAGAATGACTTGTAGTTGTTATCCTGGGATTGTTTAGCGACAGACTGCTGAGTGAAACTGAAATGAGGGAGGGAGCTGAGCCTTGCAATGTGGCAGACATGTTTAAAGATGCCAACGTTCCCAATGAAAGACTATTCTGATTAGGGGAATTAGGGCCCACAGTGAGAGTGACTAACGAGGGAACACCCACACCTCGCCCAGTGTCATCTCCGGACACCTTAATCCTCTGCACATGCTCAGACATGAGCTGTGACAGACTGATACCACTGCTAACAACTGGACTGAGGCTTTGACCCGGTAAGTTTTGATTTTCATGGTTCCTAACCATGGGGTACACATTGTGTTGAGATAGTGTGTCTAACACATGTGGTTGCAAATGTTTGGACCCTTCAGTTTTGGTTTTATGTGTCTTGGACATAATGTCTGTGTGAGAAGCAGACAAGCAGGCTCCTTACCTTACGAAAGCCAATTGCAGTTGTCGAGGAAGAAGGACAAGAGGACCAACAGCAAAAGGAGGAGGAATTGTACCATAAATTGGAAGAACAAAAAAGACAAAGAAGGCACTTTGTTAAACATTTGCATAAACATGTCTTTCACATCATTTTTTTAAAGATGCCCGTGGCTATTTATGTACACAATATTAATTAAGATTTTGTAAAACCTGTGTAATTGTTCCTGTGAATAAACTACACATGCCCAGACAATGAATCGTGATACCATTTTAGATGTTAATATCCCCTTGGATTATCAATCCATCCCACGCAATTCTAATTCTCTAAATTATTTTATAGTCAGAATATCATTCAGATGTAATAGACTGCTCAAATGTGGGTTGTTCAAAATGACTATCTAAACTGAGCTTCATGTAATTGTTGCTCAGGTGATAAAACACACCATTTCTTGTCTATGTTTGTTAAGTCAGGGTAACAGGGCATCGTTCCATTGACGAAACGCGATTTAACAGTCGGTACATAAACAGTGGTGGGCTGAGGGCCAGCAATGCCTTCTCTGCTGGCCTAAACACTGTCAGACTAACTAAATTATATTTTATAATTTTGTTTATTTATTTATCATTAATTCAATATGCTTTGTCAGAATTGTTGTCCTTTGTTTACTTTAGTTTCATAGCTTCTGTCTCCCTCAGTTGTCCCTCGTTTTAAATACAGCCTTTATCCAATCAGATTTCGCCCCTGAGTTGTCTCCTGATCAACAAAAATCTGCCCTGAGAAGTTTAAGTTACTGAGTACAATATTGTTGATTCTCATATTCTTCGACCAATCAGACGTTGAGTTTAAAACATTGAGTGTATTTTTTGACATGCCAGAGCCTTCTAGCATGCCAACAGGTTTGGTGTCGGATTAACTTGCAAATTCTTTTTTGAGATTGAAGTTTCAAGAGAAGCTTGGCATCGTGAAAAAGGGTCAACCAACCCCACAGCTGGAAGGCCTGATGCAGCCAGGGAATGACCTATAAACCAGCTATGAAATATCTCAAGTGCCTTGGTGGGCAAATAACTGGAGAAAATTCCACAGATGATCACATTATTTGATGTTATTAAAGTGGATGACTACAGACAATAATTCCTTAAGAACAAAAGATTATAGTATGATCCAGGTGTACCTTTCTCAGCAACGGCCTCTTGTTTGGCTCTTTGCGGAAGTGGCGCTTTCTCCTGGCTAACTCTTGTTACCGAAGTTGTCTCTTCAGTGGTACTTATATTAACCGGGACTTTCTTAGTGTCTTCAGACAGAACTGCATCCAGTGCCTTCTGTGGGTCGAATCCACATCTGATGGCTGCCTGGGTGAGGACTGAGTCTGACACAGCATCTCCAAGCACAGTCCGCATATGGTCCAGACAGGAAAAGAGCTTGGCTACAGAGTACAACACACACAAATATGACACGTATGTTATTTTGATGTGGGGGAAAAATACAGATGAAAACAAGAAAATAACCTCAAGAGGAAGTATACTCATTCAAAACTACCTTGGTGTCTTCAATCAGCACATTTCAGACATAAAAAAAACAAAAGGTACAGTGCAGGTGACCTCCATCATTTGTTACTGGCATAAAAATATCTGAATTCCATCATATTACCTTGATCAAGAGGGTTAAGGTTGTGGCTGATGGTAGGGGACATCGGTACATCCTCATCTTCATATTCTTCCTCCTCTAAAGGCTCCTCCTTTGGTGCTTGCCTCTCTTGGCGTGAGTAGATGAACTGATTTGCTGTAAAAAAAAAAAAAAAAAAAAAAACATCTTTACTTACAAGCTGATTAAAAAAAAATACTGCTGTGATGTATGTTTAACATTTTATCATTCAAATGGTCGACTGAGTATTAAATGAAATCAACTTCTTTAGGATTAATAATGTTCATTTATGGATACCAACCTGTTGCTGGTGATATACAGCAGTCGTCCTCCACGGACTGGCCATACATGTCATCGTCTTCAAAATCTAGAGAAAAATAAAGAAACTCTTATTTATTTCGCTTACTGTACATTCACAAAGAAACACATGTTAAACAAATGCAGCTGTGGCAAAGAGAAAGACTCATTTTATTACATTTGTAATTTTGCCTTGTCAGCAACTTAACTGAAGAATAACACTAAACATTGGGAGCCAGGCAATGCACTTTGATTACATTACAGTCTGTTTGAAACATTGGAAAGATGACTTAATCCGTAAATGTAAGTTCATTTTACCAAATAACACCCCAACCAAGTGTGTAACATTTGAATAGGAAGCTAGCGAAGTAGCTGGTTTTACCATTTGTAAACATGAAAAGTTGACTAAGTTGCTCGTTACAGACACATTATAACTACGGCAGCTTCAAAGCTTTGCTGTATAACTAAATCATATTATCGTGTTAAAACGGATGTTGTGCCAGGTGCCAAGTGACACGACATCAGTCTTATCGTAGCCTGAGCAGCTAACGCTAACATGTTAGCTGCTCAGGCTACAATCAATAACATTGAACATTAGCTTAGCCGCTAACGCGTTTAGCGGCCTTGCGTTGACGTTTCGCAGTCAACAACAGCTTACAAGTTACAGTAGGATACCTTCATCGTAGTTGTAACCTCGAACATTTCTGTGCCGAGACATTTTTGATTATTCGTGTTGCCTTTGCCCGCAAGTTTTTTTTATATCGGCGCACAGGCTGTTGTGACACATGTGTCTCACTGCCCGGCTGCTGCTGCTGCTGTGAACCTGCTGCTGTTCATTCTACAAATATGGAGAGATTTTTCAAATATGTATATATATATATATATATATATATATATATATATATATATATATATATATAATACAAGCCGTTCATTTTACCACCTATTAGTCTTTTGCTGTGTGGTTAACATGGTAATCATTGAAAAGTAAAAACAAATTCAACTTTCTTTATTTTATTATTCTGACGTCACTTCCTGTTTTGAAAACGAACATTTAGGCAATTTTTAATTTGCAGAGCTTGTGAGAACTCAAGTTTTACAGATATTTGAATATATTATTAAGACTTGCACAAAATAAGAAACATGACTCATTGAACTAAGTATAAATATTTAATTAAAAATGATCAGGAGGAAAACATAAAGGAAAGCCAATTATTTACTTGGAAAACAATTTGACGATGTTTTTTGTATTTTTTTTATTTAACCTTTATTTATCCAGGAAAGTCCCATTGAGATTAAAAACCTCTTTTTCAAGGGAGTCCTGGCCAAGAGGCAGCAAAAGGTACACAGTCACACTCACAACATAGAGACAGCAATTAAAATGATAAAAAAACAGTTACAAGTAAAGGAGGTCGTCTCAAGTGCTCTCAGCCTGGATTTAAAAGCATTCAAAGAAATCAGTTCAGTTATTTTCCAGTCTTCTTGCAGCATGTTCCATGTAGAAGGAGCAGAGTAGACGAAAGCCCTTTTTCCCAGCTCTGTGCGGGCAAATGGAACAGACAGCAACAACTGATCATTTGAACGCAAACCGTATGATGATGAGAAAGATATAGCCTAATGATATGATTACATATGCATATGGTCTGCATCCAATCAAACTCTGTTCTTTTTTGAATAAGGAAATACTTTAAAATCTTATTGTTTGTCTATGATTGTAAAAGTGGATGCACAACATCATAGATGAACACTGACAAAGTGTTATTTCTCTTTTCCTTGATAAGAGGATTTCAGCAGGTGATTTCTGATTGGCCTTAAGCAGCACACTGAAAGGACTTGAGAGAGGCTGCCTGCATAAAATACAATAACAAATTTGAATCTCAGCTCCAGTTTTGGGCTGTGAATGTCTTGATCATTTTTGTCAAAGGTTATGCCCTATGGTTAAAGACCAAATGATCTGAGCCCACACTACACCTCCCTCAGAAACACACACACAAAAACAGTGACATCATTTTCCTGCTGTCTTTGTATGACAAGGAAACTTAAAGCCTGTCTACCACAAAGGGAAGAGAAATAAGTTGTTTATAGCCCTGTGTGAGCTTGCATTTGTGCATTTACAAACATGCATGTGTGCAGGTGTAAGCAAGTGTGGTTTTTTTTATACATGATGTTGACCTGATCTCATCTTCATTAGCCTCTTTGCAGATGAAAGGAAAGAAGATGGTGAAAATGTCACACAATAATCTGATACCATGATGCAGGTGAAGTCTACACTTCCATATCTGCATGGGGAAATGGAATATGAGGTTTGGTGTGTCTCCCCATTCTAAAAATAGAGCAGAATAAAGAGAGAAGCTGGCTTAGGTAATTTTGAAGACCTTTTCACTATAATTGTCTCATATTGCAAGTGGCAGTTTGACAAAAGAGGCTTCTATTGGTAGAGGTTAGTAAAAGAAAGAAGGGTATTGCTCATATTGAGAGGGAGTCGTTGTGAACTTTATTCTTTATTGCACATTAAGTGTTACCTTTCAGTTAGGAGAGTATGTACGCGTTTGCACATCAATGTGTGTCCCTATGTGGGTGGAGGTTTCCCCTCTAAAATTCTGGTTCCTGCGTTTTGAAGTCTGGTTTCTGTGTTTCGAAGTCTTAGCTGCTAATCTTGGGAAACATAAACAATTGCTTATGTTCACACGGAGCACAAGTAAACAGACAGAAACATGATCTATTTACAGTCACTGCCTATGCATCACTTAAATGTTTCTAGGACATTTTAAAACCAAAGGCAGCAAACAGCACCTGCTTTGTTATGGTAATGGAACATATAACCTCAGTGTATGGAACAGTCTCAGTGTTGAAACCTGCACTCAAACAAACATTTTTTTGCAAATTACAAATTATTTTCGGCTTTCTTTATGTTGTATCGATAGATTATGTAAATTCTTGTATGTCTAAACCTACTTGATAATGAAGACCCTCTGAATATGGTTGTGTCTGCGACGAGGCTGAGGTGTGACATTTCACACCTCTATGCAGGATCTGAGCTTTTGTTTCCTCTGAATGTTTTTTTTTCAAGTGTTCTCGGTCAAATCTGTGCCACCGACGTGGCCACAGGGTTTCTTAGGAGTTTTGATCAATGAATTTGTGGCATGAGAGAGACATTTCAAAGATAAAATTGGGCTGAGTAGATGAATTAAACAGATGGATGGACAGATTGTTGGAAAAATTAGCGGATCAGTGGATGGGTACTTTGTTTAAATGACATAAATATAAAAGAGCTAAATGAATAATTCATGTATCCACCACCGCCACCTTTTTTTTCTGTAAATGACTTAAAAATCTCAGAGATGCAGGAAGGGTTTAGCAAATGGATGTTAATTGTAATTGTAGAATCATGTGATAGCAAAGGATTGAAATCTGTCATCGTGCATATCTAAAAACAAATTAATCTGTGTGTAATTGTAGAAAACAAAGTCTCAGCACAAGAGGGCGAGGGGTGAAGTCCATCCTAAATGTTGGCAGCAGGTATGCGGTCATGCTTTCACTTAATTTGCCATGGGCAAAAGACATTATGTGAAGAGTCTTCAACATGAACCCCCAGGGAAAATGCAAAACCTACCCTTTACCTATACTTTCGCAGGTGGTCCTAACATCTAAACTCAATAAAGAAACATGTGAGTTCCTTAAAGTAACAGTTTTGGGAAATTAAGGGGTATATGAAATAACAAAAACAAATTTAATTGGCTTTTTAGAAAAATAAAGATGGATTAATAAAACAGCAATTGCACTGCACAATAATGTAGAAACACCTATGTTTAAATACATGAACAAATATTAGCAATTAGTCAACATGTTGGTTTATTTAACCACAGAACCATGCGGGATCTCAGTCACTATATTTAATTTAGAATTGACCCTTCCCCATACATGCCTTGACATACACATACAGATATACACTCACACACAAGCATAGGCAATTAACAATACATGTTTGACCCACCCCACTCTAGATTTAAAAGCCTGGTGGGACGATATATCAGGCCTAGGGGCCATCATTAAAAAATCATTCAAATGAGCCAACCTGTGCACACAATGCTTTGCAAAGGGGGCAGCCTTCACAATACCTTCCTTAACCTGTTCAATCGCATCATGCAAATATGCTCAGCTAAGAGTCAATGGGAGTCAGGCTTCCTGCTCAGAGTACTGGGGGTGGTGGGGGGGATTTGCATATCCCAGCTCCCTTCCTTCAATTTGGTTTCAGATAACAAAATGCAGTTTTTATTATTACCCTCGAGGGAAAAGAAACATTTGGGGCTTGTGTGAAATAAGCCAGGGACAATAAAGATACATGTAAGTTAACCTAACCATTTGCAAAGGCACACACAAACATTAGATGTAGCCTTCGGCATTCTATTTACTTGTTAATATGGTTAAGGTTATTTATATTGGCTCTTATTATTGTGATTTTTTAGTTGCTTCTTTCTGTATCTTTTTGACTGACCTGTTTTTCTTTCTGTGAGTCATCTTTTTATAGCAGTCTTGCACGATAGTTGGCTATGTAGTTAAAATTTTATCTGAATAGATTAGAAGCACCACCTCCAAGAGGCAAAAATTACTTGAACAATACTTGTGTGCACAGGTGTGTATAGGATTTGAAGCTTGCAAGTGATTGCAGCCAAGCAACCATATGATACGTAATATCAGAGAGGCCTGCAGATGGCCTGCTGTAAAAATAAAAAACACCTGCAAGACATTTAATGTAATAAATGTGCAGCTACTAAACCAACAAAGCAATTTTTGTCAATAGATTGTAGAATTTTAATCCACACATGGCCAGTTTAAAAAATATCTTGCATTGTGTGCTTCATATAACACATGTCAAGTCCTGTAAATCTTGATATTCTTCTCTGTCAAAGGGCTTCACTTCACTGAACACACGGTTTAGTCAAGTATTGAAATCTTCGGTCCATGGCCATGTTTGTAATCCTTTATCAGGCCACTATTATGGGGACTGGCCAGGGACAATAGGTCGGTCTGGGGAGATGTTAATTACAAGTGACCAGGACAATACGGTCGCGTATGGAGGAACTAACATAATGAGAAGACACATTTATACAAATAAAGCATTACCCCCCCCCCCCCCCCCCCCCTTCCATTGAATGGCTGAGCGAAGAAAAGTGCTGCACAGTGAGGACTGGGAACTCAACCAAAACAAAATAATCACAAAACAAGGTGGCCTGTTGCTTTTATAAAGAATTAAGTAGGCTAGACGTTATGCAACACTAGGAAAGGCACTTTATGATATTAATCATAGGAAGGGTTGAAAAACAGGCTAAACTCGTTCCAAATTTAAATGTGGATTATTTTTGAATAGGCTAAATGCAAAGACGTCATCGGCAAATTACTGTTTTACTGACCAAAAAAAACAGCAAGCAAAAATAAGGAGAACATAAACGCGGTCTTTCATTAAATGCAGTCGTCCCATGAGTTGAGCAGTAAATTCTCACTAAAAGTTGTCACATTTCTTTGTCTGGTCGAGCACATACGCCCATTTGGTTCCAACACGAAAAAATAATGTTTTATCACTCTGGAACATCTGTGGGCAAGAGGAAGAGGTAACAGATCACAGAAAGCTTTCTAACTTCACTTTCCTCTTTCCCATGCCAAAACACCCATTCCGCAATTGTTTACTTCGGTCAGACACACAAGTTTCCTTCTGCTTTTCACCAGAGGAGAAGTAACTCATGAACAGTGTTGACAAAAACCGTGTCGCGCGGACAAACAGGCAAAACGCGCCTTTGAAAAAGTCTTCTGTGTAATGGTCTGGTGGTGGTGCCTTCACGGACGCTTCGTACATTTGGAAACTTCTACTTTACTTACCAGAAGCACAATACATATGCATTTTTTTTTAAAGTAGCCTACCATAAAAATCCAGCCATCACTATAGTACATTTTCTTAATCTTTCTTAATATTATTTACATATTTTTAATCATACAATAAGTACTATATATATATATGTCTTACGAAGCGGAGGAATAAAAGTTTAGTTTAGCTTTAAAAAGGTATCTCTCAGACGCAATGAAATAGCCTACATTTCCTTGAAATATGATAAGGTTTTGTTTTATTTTCTAACACTTTCTAGAGTGTGAAACAAAATTCAAACTTGTTCCCTGATCGCTCTGGACGTAATTACAACACGCCGGATGGTTCAGGAAGTAAACTGTGCGTGGGCATGCGCAGAAGGGGCACGCTGAGTAGCGCCAAATTTACCGGGATGTGAGGGAGGGGAGGAGCAGTAGTAAGCCCTGCTGTAGTTTAAATTAATGTCAACCTGTCTCCACGCCGGGAGAACAAACCTAGGAGAGATAGTGAAAGTAAGTGCTCAGCGTATCCTGCGAGCCGCGCTACACTAACTAAGATGGCTCGGCGACCGAGAAACAGGTAAGCACAGACAGAAAAGTCTGTTTTTTATTATTTTCTTAAACTTTCTCCCCCCAAATATACCCTTTATATTTTACAGTGCTGCCCTTCTTATTCTAGTTTTTTTTTAAAAGTTTTTTTCACTGTTTGACACGGCGTGAGTTGAGGGGTTAAGCATGCAACATGTTGACAGACTATATGTTTATTTTATTATAATGTTTTGTGTTTGAACAGTTTTGTTTAAAACTGAGTGGTAGTGTGGGTGTCGCAGTCGCGCGCCCATGACAGGTGGTGGTCATCTGGCATGTGCGCTCCTCGCGCTCCTGTCAGTGGTGAGAGAGAGAGAGAGAAAGGGGGTCTCTCTCTCCTCTCTCTCTCTCTCTCTCACACACACACCACACTCTCGTTTACACGGAATCAAGACACAATCACACACGGATTAATAATGAAGTTAGGCGGGTGGACAGGCGCGTGCCACGTTGTGTACTGCACGGTGCGTGGTCATTGGGTTTAATGCGAGCCTATTGTAAATACAAAAATCCAACAGATTGCAGAAGGGCATCCATTTATCTCTGTTCTTAACCGCCTCTCAGATGTTAATGTATTTATGCAAGTTTTTAAAAAAATATATATTTATTGATAATGGTTGTTCCTGGTGACGATCACCTTGTGAGCTGCATGGACACATGTTTTCGTTTTCACTTGCAGATAGAATCAAGATTAGAAAGCTGTATGCCTGGAACAAAGGTCATACGCGCCTTATTAAAGCTTGCAGCATCTCTGCGAGCAGCGCTCACTCTTCTTACTTTGGAAACTGCGCTTTTCCCGGAGTGATAAGCGCACAGAGGCTGCGTCTTTTGTATTTATCTGGTTTTAGTCCACTTAACACTTAGAGCTACCGTTTTGTAGCCTACACCGGGCATCGACACCCCCCCCCCCCCTGTCCTCTGTCCTCTGCATGTCAAGTTTGACCAATCATAGTCGTAGTGCGGGTAGAAGGATTATCACAGATCTGAACGGGTAAATAGAGGACCACGCAGAGCGAATTCAAATGTTGTTTCATTTAAGGGCAATAATCATAATCTAAGGTTTGATAGAGCATTTTTCATGTTACTACAGGCTTACCATGAACTGACTATGCTGTATTGATTGCCTTTAATGTGATTGTTGTGCACATAAAGTTCTGTGTAATTGTTATTTGTAATACTTTTTTCTTTTATGTGATTGTTATAATTTAAAATAGCTTCTACCTTTCATTTTATGCTAATTTGCAGAAAAAAACTAAAAAAATGTTGTTGTTGGACTTCATTTTTGATTAATTATTCAGTTTTGCCGGGGCTATTAATCAGTCAGAAAGACCAAAAAGGAAGGTTATCCCATTTTAATATCCTCCTGTAGAAGCACACAAAAACACACGCAAATTTCTCTTTGGGGTTCCTGTTCACCTGTTGCTCTTTATGACACTAAAGTACCCTACCTAGCTTCCACTTGTCTATGCTCCTGATCTGATTAGTTCAGTGTGTGTGTGTGTGTGTGTGTGTGTGTGTGTGTGTGTGTGTGTTTGTGTCTGTTCTGCACAATACCACTGCAGGTCTGAACACGCCAGGGTCATGAAATTATGATCGCATGTGCCAATCCCAGTATCTGTGGAAACCAAAAACATTGGGAACCTGTTCATCCATCCATCCTTCCCCCCTCCCTCCCTCTCACTGTTCTTCTCTCTCTCTCTCTCTCTCTCTCTCTCTTCTCTCCACTTGTGGGTGCCTTGGCTAAAAGCCTGCACCCAAACCTTCAAGAATGACTGGTTCTGTCTGTGTTGACACCTGATGAGTTAAAGATTGGGCTGAGTTCTTTATGTCGTGTGTAAAGAGACGATTAGGGAGTAGTTTGGAAATGAAAAGGGTTATTAATGTGCTATTATTTTTAATTCTATTATCTTGTACTATCCCTTTTCACACTGCCTACACTTGTTGTTTAAATGTGTCTTTTTATCTCTGTTACTGCAGTGTTTACAGCAGCGAGGAGGATGAGGAGGAGACTGAGATGTATGAGCATGATTATGACGGATCAATTGCCAAGACGGGGAAACGCCACCTTGGCAAGACACGCTGGACACGAGAAGAGGTACACAGACACAAACAACAAAATAAGAACACATCTCATATGTTAAGTAATAACTGCCTCAGGAGAGATCACCTGAAAGAAACCTGGCAACCTCTCTTTTTATTGTCTGGTCTACTCACAGTTTACTTTAATGTTCACTCAAAATTGCTGGTGTTGATGATCATTGCATCTGAATGTGTTATATGTCTGACAATCTGAGAATGTATTTTTCTTTTCCAGGATGAGAAGTTGAAGAAACTGGTTGAGCTAAATGGATCAGAAGACTGGAAACTCATTGCAAGCTTACTAACGGTACATATTTTCTAAGAGACTGAGGAGAATAAATATGCAACAATTGACATTACCTTAATTGCAACAACAAAAGCTGTCACCAACCAAGTACTGTTTTCTTTCTGAACGAGTTTTTATAACTCAGACTTGCTAATTTATTTACATGTTATGAGGATGATTACTAATCCTGATGCTCTCTGGCCCTCCAGAACCGTACAGATGTGCAGTGTCAGCACAGGTGGCAGAAGGTTCTTAACCCAGAACTCATCAAAGGACCATGGACCAAAGAGGAAGACCAGAGGGTAAGACTCTTAAAATGAACCTGAAAAAATTAACATGTGCCTTTATGGGTCATACATAAAAAAAAAAACTGAAGACACATTATTGTTGCATATTATGGTTAAACATGCAGAACTACGTTTCATATAGTAAAGCCTCAAAACTGAGCAATTTAGAAACAAGGTAACAAGTGTCATCCAGGGTAAAAAAAAAACAACTTTATGTTCCTTTGTGATTAAAGCAACCATTCTGTAGCAGCTTCTTAGCTGCCGTTAAAAAATTTGAGTTTCCCAAAAAGTAACTCCTTTGAGCTTTTACTCAATAAATAACATCTTAGCCTCTTGACAAAGTGTAATAATTGAACTAGTCTAGAGGAGTTATATTTCCACCCAGATGCCACTGTAATGATTAGCAGAGTGGCTAACGTTCCACTGGAAACTCCCTCACTACTCACCACCAGGTGCTCTCAATCACCTCTACAGGCTGAAAGATAAAAAAGGGAGGAGGGAGAAGGAAGAGGAGAAGCACTCAGTGACAGCATGTATACTTTTATGTTTGTTGTTTTTCTCAGATAAATTAATTTTTTTTTCTCATTTTCTTTCCCTTGCCTTCAATTCTTTCTTTTCAACTCCTCACCTGTGGTTTCTCTACCTTTTTTTCTATACCCCTTGTGTACTTCTCCCTCTCCTCTCTCCCCCCTGTTATTGCTCCTTCCTTCCTCTTTCCTCACGCCCCTCCACTGACATTTTACTTCTCTTCCTCTTCAACACTCTTCCTCCTGACCTCTTGTCTTTCCTCTTTTTCTTCCACCCCCTTACACACACAAACGCATGCTCACTCCAGGTGATTGAGTTGGTCCAGAAATATGGAGCCAAGCGCTGGTCTGTGATCGCCAAGCACCTAAAGGGGCGCATTGGAAAGCAGTGCCGGGAGCGCTGGCACAACCACCTGAACCCGGAGGTGAAGAAGACATCCTGGACCGAGGAGGAGGACCGAATTATCTACCAGGCACACGAGAAGCTGGGCAACCGCTGGGCGGAGATCGCTAAGCTGCTCCCTGGCAGGTAAGACAGAATGAAGATGAGAGACATATGGAAAAAGAGAAGCTAGATGAATCACTGAAACCCATGATGGTCTGCTGTGCAATGTTGCGGTGGAGTCGGTGAAAGAGAATGGAGGACAAAGAGGAAGAAGTGATAGAAGAAGCTAATGAGAAAAGGAAAAGAATATGGAAGATGATACAGAAAGTATTAATGTTTTGTATTTTTTAGTTAGGAATACAAATTATAAGGGAGAAAAAAGTTTAAAATATAATTTCAGAAAACTTTACTTCATAGAGTAAGGCCTGGAATTAAATACAAAGATAAAGGAAGACAAGTAAAGAGATACTGTAGTTTGGAAATCATTATAATTACCCTGCACTGATAGCCTTATCAGTTCTGTGTCTGTCTGACTGTGATAGCTTCTGATGTATAGGTGTTGATAATGCTATCAACTACCACACAAGTTCCAGGATGTCTTTCTATGTTGCGTACTTGCAGTTATGTTTTTGTGTTTTGTCATAATAAACCTTTAACATGTGTTTTTTTATGACGTCCAGGACCGACAATGCTATAAAGAACCACTGGAACTCCACTATGAGGCGAAAGGTGGAGCAGGAGGGCTATCTCCAGACAGCAGCCAAGAATGGCAACTCCTCACACTCCATCGGCCATGGCTATATTAAGAATAACAACCACATCATGGGTTTCCCTCATCACTCGCCCAGCCATGCACAGATGCCTCCCTCATCGTCACTCAACTACACATACATCACAGAAACACACCGAGTGAGTGGGCTTTACGCCACGTTTTTAAAGCTGGTACAAAAATTGGATTGATACTAATTATTTAGCTGCCAGTGGTTCATTTATCTGACGTGTTTCTGATTGGTTTAACAGGTACCATTGGCTTTCCATTTGAACATCATGAACATTCCCCAGCATGGAACCGCTGCTATACAGGTAACAACAGCACAAATATGTTGCTAAATTGATCGCTGAGAATTGAGACCACAAAGAAGAGGTTTGAATTGTTGCTAAAATTTGCTGGCTTCTTTTTTTCAGAGACACTATAGCGAGGAGGACCCTGAGAAGGAGAAAAGGGTGAAAGAGATCGAACTCCTGCTCATGTCAACAGAAGACGAGCTGAGAGGCCAGCCTTCACTACCAGTGAGTTGTGTGTGTGTGTGTGTGTGTGTGTGTGTGTGTGTGTGTGTGTGTGTGTGTGTGTGTGTGTGTGTGTGTGTGTGTGTGTGTGTGTGTGTGTGTGTGTGTGTGTGTGTGTGTGTGTGTGTGTTTCAGAGTGTATGCGGGTGTGACAGCACAATTTATGTGCATGTGCATTTGACCCTGGCTTTGAGGACAGTGGTTGGATGTGTGTGCGTGAATAAGGAGGAGGAAACATCTGGGGGGTCTGTTTCTGCAAAAGAAATGATGAAATAGGACCTTATCGCCATTTTTTTGTGCACGTCCATGACAGCTTGTGCAACACTTCACAACACTTCTCTTACTCTTTACATTAAAGTTCCTTTTCTTCTTCTCTTTTTTTCTTCTTTTGTTCATTTTTACACCTCTTCCTGTATTGTCAGCCTTGCATTTTTTTGTCTTGTGCGTGCTTGACACTTTTTACACTCACAACCCTGTGTGTGCTCACATTGTCAGATGTCAATTCTTTCAAAGTTTTTCTATCCCTCACTCTTAACATCTTTTTCTCCCCCTAGATGAATTTGCCGTTTCCGAGCTGGGTCAGCCATGGCTCTTTGACTGACAGCTCAGAGGGGATGGGAATGTTATTACCTCATCATCAGGTCGGCGCTCCCGCTTTGCCTCTCGACCAAGGCTGCCTACCTGAGGAGAGCGCTTCCGCAACACGGGCCAACAGCAACAATAACCGCAACAATCACAACAACAGCAACAACCATCACAGCAGCCAAACGTTCTCAAATCCTATTCCAGAGTTCATGGAGTCTGTCATTGATTCAGTAAGTGTCTGCATTTAGCTTGTTAATAAACTTCAGGCCTTTTTTTCCCAATTTAAAAAAAAACATAGCAAGTAGCAACATAGATTTTACCCAGAAGTGGGCCTTGACCCATATTTTCCCACCCTTTTCCTAGAGCCTCTCCTCAGTGGATGAGGCCAGTACCGGTGGGCTCTCGGATAAAAATGCTCTCAGAACAGACAGGGTCTTACCCATTCAGGGCTCAAGACCAGCTCATAGAGTATGGGATGATTTCTGTTCAACTGGCACCTGTCCAACCCCAAAGCCTTCATCAGGCAGAAAACTTCCCTTTTCACCCTCGCAGGTAGCCATGGTAGCTGTGTGGCATCAGAATCCATCCAATCATTAACTTGCCACATGATCATATCATCAACCAATCAGTTATACTGTTTCTGCTTCATTTGTTTTTTTCAATCATTACAGCTTCAAATGTTTTTGAAGCACCAGCCTGCTTTGCTTTGCTTCTTTCATTTGCATTTCTGTAGTTTCAACCAATTCTGCTCCCGTGAGCTGCCCAATTTAAACTAATTTGAAATTAATCTGTCAGGTTACATTGGTTTACATGTTTTCCTCCTTTTTTGTTTCACAGTTTCTCAACCAGTCAATGAGCTCCGAACACTCTGACAGTGACAGTGTGCGTATGAGCTCGCCTGTGGACACTAAGCCTCTGATTGATCACAACGCCAGACCCCAGAAGGAGAATGAAATGTGAGTGGCTTTATTACTTGTGTTTTTTAAGTAAAGCAGTGTTGCTGTAAACGATGACTTACAAATAGTGTCTCTCTCTCTTTAGGTTCAGAACTCCAAACATTCGTCGTTCGATCCTGGAGTCGTCTCCTTGTACACCAACACCTTTCAGGTCAACCCTGGCCCTGCAGGAGGCCAAGTATGGACCCCTCAAATTACTGGAGCAGCAGATGGTAGATTCGATCAAGCAGGAGCCGATGGAGTGTGCTATTGAGCAGCCTCCACTGAAAAAGATCAAACAAGAGGTACTTTCCACTCAACAAGAAGCACATACACAACAACAACAACACATACAGACTTATGTGACACTGACATAAGACGTTTTAGTTTTATGCTGAAAACATACTTTCAGTTTGAGGCTGTGGTTGAAAATGTGGGTACTTTTTTCATTCTCCTTTTTTTTAAGTTTTACGAACATATTTTTGATCGACTTGAGGAATTGTCAGAGGTAGTCATAAAGATCAGTTGTGTTGTTAGAACCTCATATATGTTGAAATATAGGACATATGAACAAGTTGTGTTTTTGATTCTAGGTAGAGTCCCCATGTGAGAGGAGCCCGTGTATGCAGTGGGAAGGACAAGACCTCCACACACAGCTCTTCTCCCCAAACGGTCCTGCACAGGAAGTACCTGTAAGTTCTCCTTTCACCATTCAGGAGCCTTGGTCTTTCATTACTGACAAATATTTTTAAACTTAAACTTAACCACTGAAAAATGTTGATCTCTGCTTCTAATGTGCTAATGTACTCTAGTAACTGTTCCAGTGTTAGATGCACCAATGTGTGTGTAGATCAGCTTAAATTATGTTACTTATATTCTTTTCATTTTCATTCAGGACCTTCTCACCAGCTCAATGTTAAGTGAGGATGGACACAAAGCCTACCACCCCTCAGGCAGAGGCATGGGCAGCCCGCTACAGGTTTGTACAATTCAATACACGTATTTAATTGAATGCTTTTTGTGATTGAATATTAAGCATCATATCTCATCATCTTTGTTTGCTTCTTGCCAGCAGCAGCTCAGTTCCTGGGAGCAGGTGACCTGTGGGAAAACAGAGGAGCACATTCTGGGCTCTGAGCAAAGACACAAGTACATCAACACTTACTCTACGAGGACGCTGGTCATGTAGCCAGAGACACATGTTGATCCTGAAACATCAACAGTCCCTGTGCTGGACACAGTGCAGCTGGATACATATTTGTTGTGGTACAACAGTTGGGAGAGGCTCTATGCCATTTGGTGTTTATACACTCACACTCGTTGGATTTCAACCAACCAAAGACTATAATTTTTCCTTTTTTTTTTTTTTGAAATCTTTTATATAGAATCTGCTTTTGGTTTTTAGAAATGTGCGTCCTATCCCTTCTGGTCTTATCATTGTATTATTATAAATGTTTGTATTATAGACGGGAAATGGTGGCTATATAATTTCAGTGGGCTGTATTATTAATTCTGAATTTTGATATTAATATAATGAACAAGTTGATTAATTTATTTCTTTTGTTTTGATAATGTTTTTTTTGTTGGTGGTTTTCACAATTGGCCAATGGAGCAGTGTTCTAAGTTAAGTATTTAAGCCCTATTAGCATTATCATGAATCCAAAGGCATATTCATTCATTCAGAACTGACCTCTGTATTTCAGTCATGAAACGTTTCCATAATTTGTACGTTACTTATGTTAAAGCTACACTGGGTCTACTGAGATTTCAAGTGTTTGGTCTGTGCCACCTCATGTAAACACTTAACCCCTGATCAAGAGCTGTTGTGTTCTTGCATCAAGTTTGACTATGAATTAACATGTTTTACACAACATAAGGTGTCAGCCTTATTAGTATTACCCAATTACCACATTGGCACCTTTTTTTCTATAAAAAATAGAGCTTTCATTTCAACTATTTTTTTCCTGGAAACATTCAATGAACAAACATTAGAATTGTAAGAATTTAAGAATATAAGGTATATTTATACATTAAGAAAAGATTAAATGAGCTTTTATGTCTGAACCATGAGCTTCACCCAGTAAGAAGAAGACCAAGCTGCACTTGAATATTATATTCTCTATAAAAATGGAGAGTACTACACACTGATATTTTATATATTTTGCTACAAACAAAAGCCCAATTGAAACTTTTGTACATTTGATTGTTTTTGATACATTTCTATGAATAGTTTTCTACTGTTTTGTACTACATACTCAATCAGCATTTTGTTTTCATACTAAGACTGCAGTAGCCCATGTCAAACACTTAGCAGCCAATCTTTTTTTATAATGTCTTGTTTTTATACTAGCTTTTGAGCAAAAATGATTTTATAAAAGCATTTATACATGCCAAGTTTTCACATTTTTTTACTTTTATATACTGCCTAGTAAATAAAGTGTGTTGTTTTTTTACAGCCTGGTGTTCAGTGTCATGTTTGGAATAACGATCATGAAAAAGACAAGTTAAGAGACATAGCATTTTCAAAGACAATACACAACATTTCCATTTATTTAAGCAGTAAATATGCTTTTATCTGTCACAACTGGAGTTCAAATAGCCTGCAGTTACATGTGTAAATAGCACTGTGAAGCCACACTGTTGTCTGGAGCAATCCCTCTGTTTAATGTGAATGAACTGTTTGCTCTTCCATGTCTCCAAAGTGTACCCTGTCTCTAGTATTCAAATTTTTGTTAGGACTGTAGTATTCAAATACTCCACCCTTAACTCCCACACACAATTCGACAGATACAAAGGTTTTGTCATCATAAAGTTTTGCAGAGCTTATCATAAAACCTTCCCGCCATCTGCCAATGACTTTGATAGTGGAAAGTTTACCAGCCAATAAGCAAATGTCTCTAACTGTTGCCCCTTGGACCATGTGTACCAGCAGTGTAAAAAGAAAGGCTTCTCTGATGAGAAAACTATTCTCTGTAAGCACATGGGAAAATATACTGAGTGCAATTAGTGAATTTACCACCACTCTCATTATTCTCCAAAAACACTCACACATGCATGAGCCACTCATTTAGTCCCTTGAGGAGACTTGTTTTCCTGTGAGGCCTTGAAAGACAAGGGGCCCCGACTCAGGCCAGGACCTATATTTACACACCCTCCCTCCATTCAACCCCCCTGAACCACCACAGTGTCCTCAAATATAGATTCCCATCTCATGTATGAGTCTCAGAGGGCTACATAAACAGAAATGACATTCATCACGGCAGACACATCTAACAGGAACTGTGATATTTACAGCAGAGCACAAACAAATGATTTCCATTGGTAGTTTCATTCTTACTGTAGCTTAAGTGTCACATATATGTTGTTTATGTTCACATATAAGAACATGTTTTTAACTAGTGTAAAGAGATCATAGTGAAGGTTTGATGAGGGTGGGTTACAATTTAGAAGATGGTCCAATGTCAGCAATTGTATGTGTGGTTTTGTACTGTCTACTGCAGTGTTTCTCAAAGTGGGGGTCGGGACCCCCTGGTTGGTCGCGAGACACTTAGAGGGGGGGTCGCGAGTTGCCCTCCAAAAACAAAAGCAAACTGGAAATGACTTGAAATTACATATTTTACCTATCATTGTGAAATTACATACAAAAATGTTGTTCAATTAGTTTAAGGCTGCTGTATTTTTTATTGTTGTTCTAATGTCAGTGTTTGGATAGGCCCATTAGTGCGTGCTGCTGTGTGCACCGTTGTGCTTTAACCACTCCCAGGGACAGAAGGGGTCCCCGGTCTCTCGCATCTTTATTTTGGGGGTCGTGGAATGAAAAGTTTGGGAACCCCTGGTCTACTGTATGTGGTGCGTGTGTGTGTGCGTGTGTGTGCGTGTGTGTGTGTGTGTGTGTGTGTGCGTGTGTGTGTGTGTGTGTGTGTGTGTGTGTGTGTGTGTGTGTGTGTGTGTGTGTGTGTGTGCGGTGTCTTCTGGAAAGAGGCCAGAGCAAGAAGCAGACTTTCACATTGGGAATTTCACCATTCTCTACAATACCCCAAAGAAAAAAAAACAAACCCCAAGAGGTTCACAGACACCTGTTTCCACTGAGTGAGGAGGCAGCTGTCTGAGTGTGTGTGTGTGTGTGTGTGTGTGTGTGTGTGTGTGTGTGTGTGTGTGTGTGTGTGTGTGTGTGTGTGTGTGTGTGTGTGTGTGTGTGTGTGTGTGTGTGTGTGTGTGTGTGTGTGTGTGTGTGTGTGTCAAGGGGTGGTGGTTTAATGACAAAAACAATAAAGACCCAGATGGAAATTAAAAGACCGAAAGACAAAACATCTCAAAGCATGAACAGTTGGTCACCACATATTAAGGCTACAATTTAGTGACTCAGATGCTATAGAATTTGTTGTCTGTCCATCATTTACTATCTTGACCTTGAGTGCTTTGAAAGGCGTCTGTAAATAAATAAATATGTATTATCTCAATAACGCAAAAGTGTCACAAAAGTACTACAACCTGTTTGAGTCGAATGGCAGAACATTTCTGGTTATCCAGGTCTTTATGTCCATAATACTTTGAGTTTAGTTACCTGATTGGTTTCCTCTGCCTTTATTGATAAGTGTAATAAGGTATCGTTTGCATTGCGCTAAAGGTTTATATCCAGCAATTATCAACACCAAATAAACTTCTTATTCTTATCAAGCATAGTTAGTGTTGTAAGATGGGTAAAAAAAACAAAAACGTTTTACAGCTGTAGTGCCAATTATTGTAGGCTTTGTCAAAGAATGTACTAGTCAATTGTGTCAAATGCAGAACTAGATTAGATAATTTGTAGCTTTCACCAGTGCAGTCTCAGTGCTATGGTGGACTCGAAATACTGAATAAAAATTATCACTTGAACTGTTATCTGAAGAAAGTCACAAAACTAATTGGCCACTGCCTTCTCAGAAAACTTGGCAGGTTTGCTGCAGGTCTACAGCGAGCAAAGATGTCTTGGTTCTAGAGTGAACTTTTTGAGTCTTAATCAAAGGGGAATGTTACAATATATGAGTAATGTGTCATCATCAGCAGTGCCATGTATTATCCAAGGACAGTACTATAGTGCATTAAAAAAAGGGTTACATTGATACATTGAACCTTTAATTTTTGTAAGTGTTTTAAACTGTGTTGCAAATGCATATTAAAGTAGCAGGCATATCCAAAAAGACACTACCAGAACTGAATTACTGTAATACAGTTGAAAAAAAAAACGAATAACAGTAATAAAATGCGTTAAAAATGTTATAAAAAGACAAAATCACATTAAGAAAATAAATAAATAAACAATGATAAAAACTGACAAATAAGAGATGGATTAGTGAATAAATAAAGCCATAATGTAGAGTAAGAATAGGACATCAGAGGAAGGACAAGGGATAGAGAATTAGATTAAAAGCTGAAAAAAGAACGAAGGAAAAGAGAAATTCAAAATGTATTGAAAAAGATGACATCTCATGCGCTGACCTTTCAACAAAGGAGGAAATATAAAAATGACAGGCATCTCTGCCACAGGCCTGAATATGGCTTCTATAAGTTCCCCTTAGTTGAGTGCGTTGTTTCCAATCAAACCTTTTTTTAGATTCACTGTTGTTTAGCTTTTGTCAGTGGATACTACGGCAAGTCAAACATTCAGGAAGAAATATTCTGCAAATGTTAAAGTAGACTACATTTTGTATTCCAACCTCCTTTGCCTTTTCAAATCAAACATGTCTGTCGCAAGCAGATTGGCTCATAAATTCAGTTTGACATGTCACAATAGATTTATAGCCGGATGTTGCAGAAGTGGCGGGCTCCTGAGCACGCGCATTCATACTCAAAAAAAAGAAAATGCACACGCTCCAAGCACTGAAATGCTGACCGGCTCTGGGCCTGCATAGATTACTCTTGCCTGATTTCCTCATTCCCTGGGTGCTTTTTGTGGTTGGAGATACTCAGGCCGCTCCCTGCTGGCGGCGGTCAGGTAGGAGGGCTGGGCTGGGCTGGCCTGGCCTGATAACTATGGTACACAGAAGAGGAGAGAAGAAGAGGGCAGTGATGAAAACAAGTGATGGGAGAGAAAAACAAAAGGGTTCATATGGGTTGAAAGAAGGATTTACTTTTATGAAACAATTGTTCAACTGGTCTCTCTCTGTTTTTTGATTGTGCACAAACACTGAAGAGAAGACAGAGGGGAAATGTAAGCTCTGCCTAGTATGCAAAACGTTCTTTTATGCTAGAGCTTTAACTGCAAATGATAAGTTTGCATGAAAAGAATAGTTTTACATTTTTGCAAATGCCGATATTAGCCCAGATATGGATGGAAAGAACAATAGCACTCTCATGTCTGTGCAGTAAGTATGGAGCGGGAGGGTGGTTAGCTTAGCTTGAAGAACATAATCAAGCAGGAGAAAACACTCAGTCTGCCTCTGTTTAATGGTTAAAAGCAGAAATAAATTAACTTTCCAGCTTGCCTTAAAAACATGCCATATCTCATTGGTTAAAACTGACAATAGCTGATTGTAAAAATAACACAAAACAACTTCTAATAGTAGTTTCAAGAGTTTGTCAAACTTTGAGGCTCACATCCAAGGACACACACACACTGGACAAATTGGTAAAGTCTCTGTGTTGTTAAGTGTCATCATATGTAACAGTGGGATGAATGAAACCTTCATTGCCCCCAAGGGAGTTTGCCTTGCCTTGTTTGGGAACCAAACAGGTTAAACCTTCGAATGCAATTATTGATGACTGTGTTTCAAATGTCAAGGTCCTGGTACCCTGCCATGCTCTCCTGGGACCCTTGCATGAAACCGAACTTTCATCAATGTTTTAACAAGAAGTCACATGGCCCATGGTTTGACAAAAAATAATGAGGCCGCCGTCACTTGTTTCTTTCACTTTCATTTTATTTATCTAATAACAGATGATTGACTGTGTTCAATCGTCCCCATTTGAGCTGCTGGTTGACATTACTTGAACTTTTAAAGGAGAGTCATGCTATCTGTTACCCTCTGCCAATGGTCTTATTTATAAGCTAATTTCCTCACAGCTTTTGATCAAAATTTAGACAAGAGACTCTTCTCATCTAAAGATGGATATATGGTCACAGTTAGAGGTATATGGCTATACAGGCAGCATTAATTGCAAGTATTGGCTGATTCTGTGTTTATGTGTGCTACTCATGTGCCTAAGTATTTGATTGAAAGTCTGTTATCCAACCAACATCGCCAAAGGATGTTAGCAATAACATAAGCAGACTAATTCTGTCGCACTTAAAACAGCAAAGGTGGAAAACAGTGGAAAAAAATTGTTCCCAAGAGGATTCTGAAGAAATAGATTTGAAGCCAGTTTCACCAAAGCTCAAGGAGAAGTTGTGGTACAATCACCCTCGGTGCTTA